GTTGTGCTGGGAAAGGTTGCCTCTGATCAGAAACAAGATGTGAAAACTTGGTTTGTAATGATTCCAAAGCTGTCAACAGCAATGAGGCAGTGGGAAAAAGCCTGAGAAAGCCACCTTTGGCTTGCGGACATGGAGGGAGAGTGATGTTGGAAGCCTTAGCAGATTATTGCAAATGACATCAGTAATGTGAAGAAACTGATGGGCCACTAGGGGCAGGGGTGGGAAGATATCTGGAAAAACTGTCACTGCTAGAGTATGGTGGAGGCTGCTTCAAGCCCTGGTATGAAATGTAGTGTGTAGGGCGGGCCACCAAAACCTGGGTAAGTAGGCACCCCCAGCAAGGGGGCACACTCCTACTTTTAGTTTACAGTAATTACTCCTGCAGAACAATTCTAAATTCATGAAGATATTGCTCATTATGTTTAGAATTTGTAATCACTAGCCATCTCTCCCAATGGATTCCATTTAATGGAATCACAGGGGGAGGCATGAATTGCTTGAGAGTATCAGTTCTGAAATGAGCAGAAAGTGCACTGGAAAGGCCACAGTTGTCCACTTAAAACAGAGGCTGTGAACAAGGGCCTCAGAGATACTGGTATCGTGGTGAAGGAGAATTAATGACAACATAACAGAAAGTGATAAGAAAAAGGTCAAAATGTGTCAGTAGGTGTGCCCTCTAAGACTTATACGTAGAGTGGCACACAGAATTATCCAAACTATTTAAGGTAAAGTTTGGCGGATCTCTTGCTGTTGGATTCTCATCTCCTTCAGTAGCCTGGTGGCATAGTGGAGAGGGTTCATTGTGGAGGATTGGGCTTTAGTACCCTGAATAAAATCAAAAAAGGAATAAGCTATTCAAATGTAACTGCAGACCTCCATGATACTGTGCACCAGAGGGAAAAATATTAATGCTTATTGATGAGAGTTTTGTACTGTGAAGTTAAATACAGTTAAATACTACCTGTAATACAGGTAGTATTAGTACATTTATAGTATGGCTTTATTTCCTGATGTAATAAGCCTTATGAGTCATGTACTTTTTCCAAGTTCTGTTTGCACAATGAAGTTCGGGCTGTATTTGAGATGTAGTGGCCAACTAAAGCAGGCACCATTGATGCCCTATCTAATATCCCCTAGACTCACCTCTGAGTTCACCTGCAGCCGTGGTAAAGAGCTTCCAGCGTGATTGCAGCTCCCCATTCCAAGTGCCTGCTTCTCTGCCTGAGAGCTGTCTGAAGCATCAGGGGAATTTGCTGAGCCACACACAGGAGCAACTCAAAGGATAAGACAGTTAATGTTCCAGAAACAGGGTTTCCCTGGTGGCTCAGTGGTTAAGAATCCACCTGCCAATGCAGGGGACACGGGTTCAATCCCTGGTCCAGGAAGAGCAACTAAGCCCATGAGCCACAACTACTGAGCCCACGTGCCACAACTACTGAAGCCCGTGCACCTAGAGGCCATGCTCTGCAACAAGAGAAGCCAACGCAGTGAGAAGCCTGTGCACTGCTACGAAGAGTAGCCCCCGCTCGCTGCAACTAGAGAAAGCTCACATGCAGCAACGAAGATCCAACACAGCCAAAAATAAATAAACATTTGGGAAAAAAAAAGTTCCGGAAACAATTCCTAATGGTTGGGGAAGGGAGAATGCTGGATTACTGCCCCAGCCTCCCAGCCTACAGTGGAACAATTCTGAGATGCCCTCTACACAGTTTCTCAGAGAGTAATCAGAACCATTAAGCCCTGGGACTTCCCTGGTGGCACAGTGGATAAGACTCCGTGCTCCCAGTGCAGGGGGCCCCAGGTTCGATCCCTGATCAGGGAACAAGATCCCACATGCATGCCGCAACTAAGAGTTTGCATGCCACAACTAAGGAGCCCATGTGCCGCAACTAAGGAGCCCGCCTGCTGCAAGTAACACCCTGTGCAACCAAATAAATTACAAAAAGAACAATTGAGCCCTAATCATGCACTGTGCTAATCTGCTCATTAATGCACTGTTTCTTAGCCTTTCTACCTCCCCTGTCTCATTTTCCCCACACCCACATGTGCTTCCTGGGATCACCTGGACCCAAGTCCCTGTATCAGGGTCTGTATTAGTCAGGTTTCTCCTGAGAAACAGAACCAGTAGGATAGATAGATCAATCTATTTCTCTATATCCATATGTATAACTCCACATCTATAGCTATATACCTATATCTGCATCCACATCTATATCTATGTATCTATATAGAAAGATTATAAGGAAATGGCTCACGTGATTATGGAGGCTAGCAAGCCTAAAATCTGCAGAGCAAATGTTGCAGTTCAAGGACAAAAGCAGGCAGGCTGCTACAGGCCCAGGAAGAGTCAATACGCCAGTGCAATGGCTGTTGGGCAGGAGAATTCTCTATTACTCAGGGAAAAGTCAGCGTTTTGTTATATTCAGGACTTCAGCTGAATGGATGAGGCCCACCCACATTGTAGAGGGCAATCTGCTTTACTCAGTCTACTAGTTTATATGTTAATTTTATCCCAAAATACCCTCACAAAATACTCAGGATAACATTCAACCAGATATCTGGGTATCCTGTGGTCCAGTCTAGTTGACACACAAAATTAGCCATTACAGGGTCCGATTTGGGGGCAATCCAAACCAAGGCACCAAGCATAGCTCATCAATTTGGAGAAGCGCCCCTTGTAACGAGAGTAGAAACCTCTAAGGAGAGTGTTTTATGTGGACCATACACCTCAGGAACCATACACGCACTCTCTGACCCCTTGTCCACATTCCAACACATAGGCTCTGGCCCACATTAAGGAGGCATTTTGGCCAGAAGGGAAAACCAGACCTGGTGTTGCTGTCCATGAATTTGAGACAGAAAGACTCCTGGTCCAGGATGGAATGAAAGCTTTGCTGTGTGGACTCTGCCTGACATTTGCCCTAATATTCAGTTACATTTTGTCCCTCTCTGGACCAGGCACTTAGTCCCGCTAATAGGGAGGTCCACCGATTGCTTACACCACCTACCTACACCATCTTGTGTTGCTCCTGGTTGAGCCCAAAGCAAGCTCCAGTAGCTTAACCGGACCCCATTGGTGTTGCTGTCCGTGGTTCTGACAGAAGGAGCAAGCCTCTGCTTTGACACCTGTTTTTCTGTCCATGGTGCTGCCTAATAATTTTTTTTAAACTAAATTTATTTTATTTATTTATTTTTGGCTGCGTTGGGTCTTCATTGCTGTGCACGGGCTTTCTCTAGTTGCGGTGAGTGGGGGCTACTCTTCACTGTGGTGCGCCTGCTTCTCATTGCAGTGGCTTCTCTTGCTGCAGAGCATGGGCTCTAGGCGTGTGGGCTTCAGTAGTTGTGGCACCCAGGCTCAGTAGTTGTGGCGCACAGGCTTTGTTGTTTCATGGCAATGTGGGATCTTCCCAGACCAGGGCTCGAACCCATGTCCCCTGCAGTGGCAGGCGGATTCTTAACCACTGCGCCACCAGGGAAGTCCAGTGATTCTTTTTTTATGCTCAGGAAGACGCTGCATATTGAAAGAGCAGGTTTTTGAAACGTAGACTAGAATTCAATGATAAACATGAGATTTTGGCTCTTGCTGATGTGTGTTATAGGATTTAGTGCTCTGGTGTATGTGTCCCCATTCAAACTGAAGAATCAATATTTTCTTGCTGCCCCATATTCCCAGAACAGGTTCTAGGATTTAGCACAGTTGATGGAAAAGAGCAGAGCTAAATAGAGAGCAACCGGGGCTGAAGGTTGCAGGCTATTAACCACATCAGGGGAGTCACTATCCTTTGGAAACCCCTGGCTTGGAATTTTCCTCTTTTTGACTTTCTATGTCCAACCTCGCAGAGTCTTGTGGATTCTATCTTCTAAGTAGCTCTTAGATTAGGTTACTTCACCTCACCTCTGCCAACACTTCCGACAATGATGATCATCACCACTGCTACCATCACTACCTTCACTCTTCTAATTACCATTATTCCTTTAGGATAAAAATTTCAAAGTGGAATAACTAAGCGGAAGGGTTTGATAGAATATCTGTACCAAGGTGCATTTCCACCAACCTTGTAAAAGAGGGCCAGAGCCACTCTCAGGTGGCAAGAGAGCTATCAGCAATACATTTCAATTAAAGATTGACCAAAAGAAATACATTAAAAAACTAAACAGGGAGTTCCCTGGTGGTCTAGCAGTTAGAATTCGGCACTTTCACTGCCGGGACCTGGGTTCAATCCCTGGCGGGGAAACTGAGATCCTGCAAGCCAAAATTAATTAATTAATCAATCAATCAATTAAGTAAGTAAAAAACATAAAGAAAAAAGCTAATGCTTACAGAGCACTTAGCATGCACCATGGCTGGGCAAGTGTATGTGGTGCTTTAAAACAAACCTTTGTGGTACGTTCTGTTTTCAGATGGAATAATGAGACACAGGTCGAGAAACTTGCCCAAGTTCAGACAAGACCCTCGGAGAAGGTCAGGTAAGCTTTCTGAGACCACACAGCAAAAGAGTGGCGCAGCAAGTACTGAAAGCGATGTTTGTCTCCCCCTCTCCTGCCAAGAAGAACTGCCAGGGGTCCCTGAGAAAGCAGAGGATGGGGAAGAGGTAAGGGAGAAAGCTGCGTCTGCGCGCGTGCTGGGAAGCGGGGGCTTCCGGAGCTGTAGGGTCGCCATAGCGGGTGTGATGCAATCACGCCCGTCGCTGCGTCAAAGGGCGGCTCCCAGGATGCGGGGACTGCAGTAGAGCTGGTCCCCACCGCCGCCCACCTCGCCCCTGCCGCCCACCGCGGCTAACCCGGCAGGCAACCGCTGCCGCTAACCTTCGTCCAGAGTCAGGACCAACGCCCCGGAGCCACCAGCGACCCCGACAACATCTCTCAGCCACCGGCGACCCTGACAACCGCCCCCAGGTACCGGCGGTCCCTGACAACCACTCCGAGCCACCGGTAACCCCTGACAACCGCCGCCAGCCCCCCCGCCCCCCGCCCCCCGCCGCGGGCGCCCGGGGCGTGCCATGAAGTCGGCGGTGAGCGCGCGAGGTGGGGTGTCTGGCGGCCGCGGGGGTGGCTGCTGGGGCGGGGGGCGAGGAGGCGGGGGCAAAGGAGGAGGCGGGGGCAAAGGAGCGGGAGGCGATGGCGGCGGCCAGGGCGGCAAGGGCGGCTTCGGAGCGCGGACTCGCGGCTTCGGAGGCGGCAGGGGCCGGGGGCGCGGTGGCGGAGACTGCAGGGACCGCGGAGGCAGCGGACAGCGGCGTGGCGTGGCCAAGAGCAAGAACCGCCGCAGGAAGGGCGTCACCACGGTATCCGTGGAACCGCACCGGCACGAGGGTGTCTTCATCTACCGCGGGGCGGAGGACGCTCTGGTCACACTGAACATGGTGCCCGGCCAGTCGGTGTACGGCGAGCGGCGGGTCACGGTGACCGAGGGCGGCGTGAAACAGGAGTACCGCACGTGGAACCCCTTCCGCTCCAAGCTGGCCGCGGCCATACTGGGCGGGGTCGACCAGATTCACATCAAGCCCAAGTCCAAAGTGCTCTACCTGGGTGCCGCCTCGGGGACCACCGTCTCCCACGTCTCCGACATCATCGGCCCTGATGGCCTAGTCTACGCGGTCGAGTTCTCCCACCGCGCCGGCCGCGATCTGGTCAACGTGGCCAAGAAGAGAACCAACATCATCCCAGTCCTCGAAGACGCCCGGCACCCCCTCAAGTACCGCATGCTCATTGGGATGGTGGACGTGATCTTTGCCGATGTGGCCCAGCCAGACCAGTCCCGCATCGTGGCTCTGAATGCCCACACCTTCCTGCGCAACGGGGGCCACTTCCTCATTTCCATCAAGGCCAATTGCATCGACTCCACCGCCTCTGCCGAGGCGGTGTTTGCTTCTGAGGTGAGGAAGTTGCAGCAGGAGAATTTGAAGCCTCAAGAGCAGCTGACCCTGGAGCCCTATGAGAGGGACCACGCTGTGGTCGTCGGGGTCTATCGGCCCCTTCCTAAGAGCGCCAACAAGTAGCAACCCAGCTCGGGCTGTCCCTGAGATAATGCCTAAGACTGTGCTGTGTTCAGTGTTACTATATGTGTGTTTTCTTTGTGCACCGCTTTTCTATTAAATGGCATAAAGAAACAGTACCCAGGTGTGTATCAGTGAGGCCAGACTCAGTTATCCCCAAATCTCCAAATCCCCCAAACTCTAAAACAGCCAAGATAACAGGTGATAGGGGTCCATCAAGGATCAGCCTGGGTTCTGTGCTTACTCCAATCACTCAGGGTCCTGACTCTTCGGGGCCCCTCTTCACTCGTCACAGGGGCAGGGCAAGAGAGCTGGGAAAATAATGAGCTTATAAAATCCCCTTTGGAACTGAGGGGACACTTCTTACACATTGACCATGTCACGTGACCAAGCCTGACTCCAGGGAGTAGCATTGGCTATTGATGGACAGTAGTATAGTCTAACACACCCAATCTGTCTGACTTCAAGCCAGAGTCCTAACCATAATATACATTTAGTACTTTACTCTTCAAGGAAGTCCTTTTGCATTCCCTAGTATGTGTAATCAGCACACCAGCCCCAAGATGGCTTTGTTACCATTACCCTTTTACAGGGGAAGCCACAGAGCTTCTGAAGGTAAACTGGTTGCACAGCCAGTAGGGAGGTAGAACTTAACTGCCAGTCTTTGCGCCTCTAAATTCACTGCCATTTCCTGTACACTAATGGGATCTTACCTCTCCCCGACGTGGCCCACGCTGAACGGACCACAAGTCCTAACACAAGGACACACACACAGAGCAGGGCCCTCTGACTCCTCTGTGTCCTTTCTCTGTCTCCCTGTGCCACCCTTTTCTTAGATTTCAAAATAACAAAACAAGTCAGGGAGGTAGGATGTGAGTCCACCTCAAAAAGTATTCCCAGGGCTTCCCTGGTGGCGCAGTGGTTGAGAGTCCGCCTGCCGATGCAGGGGGACACAGGTTCGTGCCCCGGTCCGGGAAGATCCCACATGCCGCGGAGCGGCTGGGCCCGTGAGCCATGGCCGCTGAGCCTGTGCGTCCGGAGGCTGTGCTCCGCAATGGGAGAGGCCACAACAGTGAGAGGCCCGCGTACCGCAAAAAAAAAAAAAAAAAAGTATTCCCACACCACAAGGTAACACACCCAAAGTGGCATCACCAAGTGTCTCAGAAATAACCAGGAAAATGACTCCCAGAAAGTATCTGTCTCTGAAGGGCATTTCCTGCAGGCCCTGAATCCCAGTCCATTCAATTCTGGCTCTCAAAAGCAGCCCAAAGGGAGCAGGAGAGTGAACAATCCCAGGAGAGCTGGCAATGTTCCAAAACCAAGACTCAAAAAGGCCTTTCATTTATTAATTCACTCATCCACTCAGGAAATCCCCATTGCCAATTGCCAACGTCATCAACATTGCATCCGGGAATGTTTGCTCCCTAACCTGTCATTTGGAGAGTGGGTCTACCTTCCTGAAGATGTGCTTGGATAGAGGTTATGGTTAGTTTGCGTTTTCTGAGGGCATACTTCCTTCATACAATAAGAAGATAAATCATATTTCTAAAGGGCAGCCGTCGCTTCTAGTCCTCCCCTCCCCTTCCCACAATGCACACACAAAAGCTATTCCATACAATGCGGGGGGAGAGCTACCGTTCAGATTTGCTGGCCAGACTGACTCAGGAAGAAGAGGGTGAACGGAGTAAATGTCTGCAAAATCCCGAACCAGGCATTTCCACAAACAATGTGAGATCTTCATTAAAACCCTGCAGAGCGAGGATCATTATTCCTATATAACAGAGGAGGAAACTGCAGTTCGGAGAGATGACATGACTTGCTTAAGATCCCCCAGTAAGTCTCACAGCCAGAAACCAAACCCACAGGAGTCTGACTCCAAAATCTATGGCCTTTCCACTGAGGTCTATGCTGGCTCCCTTACTTTGAAAAGCCCTCTCTCCAGTCCTAGGCTAATTGATTCATTGCTGGGATGAAACCCTGAGGCTGGGGATGGACTCCCAGGGAACAGGATGATTCCTTCTGGAATCTTAAAGGGTCCAGTCCTTCCTCAGAGGCTGCTCAGTCTCAATAAGGAGCTCTTGGAGCCTCCTTACAAGGTGTCTGTCCCTCCAGATCTGGGACATGGCAGGGGAAACTTGGCCTCTTTTCCTTGGTGTGAGCATTCCCACATACACACAGAGAAAATTTACAGTCCACGTTTGAAGCTGCTTGAAGTGGGAACGTCAATGGAGACATGGCATGAAAAAAACCTCCTGAAGAATGTCTCTGAGCTGCAGATGGGTTCCTGGGCCAATGGAACAACATGATAAGTCCCAGGAGAAACATAGGAATAAGGATTAAGGGAGTATAGGAGGGAAGCTGAAACCTGGTTTTGGAAGATGGGGTGGGGGAAGTATGGGACTGTAATTCCAGTGGGCAGTGAGGTTCAGGACATACGTCGCAGTGACACCGGGCACCTGACCTGCTTGGGTTCCCAGAGGCATCAAATTGGGGTCCCTAGGCATCTTAGACTGCTGCAGCTACCCTAACAAAATACCACAGTCTGCATGCCTTAGGCAACAGACATTTACCTTCTCACAGTCCTGGAGCCTGGAAGTCCAGGGTCAAGGTACCAGCAGGGTTGGTTTCTGGTGAAACCTCTCTCCTTGGCTTGTCAATGGCTGCCTTCTCCCTGGGTCCACACATGGCCTTTTCTCTGCGTGGACAAGGAGAGAGAGAGAGACTGAGAGAGACGGGAGGAGAGAGAGAGATCGCTGGTCTCATCCTCTTCTTAGAAGCACTCCAGCCCTCTCAAATTACAGCCCCACCCTTATGACCTCCCGGGACCTTAATTACCTCCTTAAAGGCCCTATCTCCAAATACAGTCATATTTGAGAGTTAGAGCTTCAACATTTTGATTTGGGCGAATACAATTCAGCCCATAACACTAGGGCTGGGTGGGAACTTTCAGCTAAAATGCCCATCTTGCTGGCTTTTGGAAAGTGACTGGGGAAAGCAACCCCTAGTGTTATCCCTTTCTGCCAACTTTCCTCTTATTGTCAGTGTAAAATACCCGAGAATTAACAGTTAACATAGAGGCCGTGGGTTGGAGCAGGCGGTGGGTGGGGTGAGGAGTGATGGGGAGGGAACTTAGTTGAGCTTCTAAGAGGATTGGTTCAACCTGGGAATTGGTTCAGCTGGGTGGAATTTGCTGCTGAGTTTCAGAGAATCAGCAGCCTGACAAGAGCCACGGTTGAGCCCAGCCCAGCAGGTGCAGTGAGGCTGGAGGCTGATGCTCAAAGGCAGGGTGAGATGGACCCTGACTCAAAGAGAGTCAGCAGGAACCAGTGGGAAGAACACACAGACCCCACCTACTGCCTACCCTCACCCTCACCATGATGTCCCTCAGCTTCCTCCACCCAGATGCCCCTTGGGATAAGGGGAGGAAGAATGGGGAGGGAAAAGAAAACAAAAGGGACTGTTTTAAACCGGAAGAAACCAACTTCTTTTCAACTGGCAATTTCCCTCCCAGCTGCAGTCCTGCTACCAAGCAAGATGCTTTAACCATACCGGAGCCGCAGTGAGTATGTTTGGACTCTGCAACACTCGTATTTGTCAAGCACTTATGATGTCCCTGGCATAGAGATAAGCGTTTATTTGATTGCAAAAAGTGTTTTTAAATTAATAACGGGAACAAACATAGCAGAAGATACTGAAACGTAAATGTTCAGGTTAACATTTGCTGTAAAATGCACACTGGTGTCAGAGCTGCCGGAAATGTCTGTGTGGCCTGGAGCGAGAGAGCACGTGAAACCCCTGGCCAGTGCCCTGCCCCTTTCTCTTCCCACCCCTGGTTCTGCCCCACCTCCTGAAGGGGCTCACACGCATGTCTGTAGACTCCCAGCCCTCAAATCCAAAATCCGACCCCCTGCTCTTCAAACAGCCTCCTTTAAGCCCCTTGGGACTGGAGTTGTAAACTGGGAGCGTGATCCCTTCTTGGGAGGACTGGCCTGGGGAAGATTGATGGAAGCGGACTTGGGCTGTTCAGACTGGGCGCCCGGTGCCCAGTGCAGGATCTAGAAGGTGATGGCGTGGGCTCGTGGGGGCACGGCCCTCGGCCCGTATGGACTCCTTGCCCCATGGGGCAAGATGCAGGCAGAGGAAGGCCAGAGCGCAGCCCTGTAAGTGCGGGGCCCAGGGCAGGGGCCCTGGCTGACCAGGTCTGAGAGTGGCCCCTTGGCCCGTCCACTCAACCAAATCTCGGTGTTCCTCCTTAAGGAGGCCAGTCTAACTCTTCCAAGTAGTCTTCCTGGCCCATGGGCTCACAGGAAATTCCTCTTGATTCACGTTCTGAGGGAGACAACATTTACCGTGCACGTAGTATGTTCCAGGTGCCTCCAGACACCTTGTTTCACTTAATTCCCACAACACCCCCTGGGAGGCAAGTGTTATCCTCCCTGATATCACAGATGAGGAAGCTGAGGCTCAGGAAAGTGACAGGAATCCCCCAAGGTGTGATGGAGCTGGAGAATGGAAGATTTGGCGTGTCCTGGAGCAGAATTGTACGCATTCATTCTCTAAATCAGTGAAATTAAAACCAGACGCTCTAGGCGGAAGGCCTGGCATTGGTGTTTTCGGTAAGTCCCCCAGGTGATTCTAATGTGCATCCAGGGCTGACACCACTATTTAAAACCCCATACCACTCTTGCTGTTGATTGGGAAAGGCAGATTTAAGACAGTACTTTGACTGACTGGAAGATGACAGCTGAGCTTTTCTGCAGGGTCTCTGGGACAGCCCAGGATGCCCCCTGAGATTCCTAAGAGGAGGAGGGTTGAAGTCTGTGACTGAAGACAAAGTTACTGGTATTCCTGCCTCTTTGGTCCCTGATTGAGTGCTGCCCACAGATCTTGTTTGTAAGGAGCTCAGCTGAGCTGGGAGAGAGAGCTGAGCTGGCAGGTGTGGGAGGAGCTCAAGAGCAAAGGAGCCGAAAATGAGAGTTCAGTCTTTAATCATTTACTGTGAT